AAATACAGATACGCATAGATAAAGTATTTGTATTTAGGTGTTTTACATTCCAATTTAATCCCTCTCCTTGGGTCACGATAGGTCACTCTGTCCAACAGGAACCTCGTTGACTTGGCCGCAACTTTGTGTTTCATAAAGATGATGCGAGTTGAAAGACAAATTAGAGTCAAACTACATAAAGCAGAATCAGCTTTATTCACTTTGATTTTGGCTCAGATATATAAAAATAAAACAGGCTCTTTCTTCTTGGGAAATGTTCAGTGTTTCTACAAAAGACCAAAGCAACGTTGAAATAGTGCGACATGTGTGATATTGATTTGCTGAAACATTATGCAGAACTCTAGTACTTCCTATTTCTGACTGAGGGAATTAACTAAATGAAAACATTACATGCAAAGCATTTGTGATTCATTAATATTAATGTGAGAGAGAATGTTAAATAATGTACATTAAAGACAAGGAAAACTATCACAATTACTTTTTAATTTATTGATTTTCTAGAGATTAGAGAAGATAGAAAAGTTTGCCTGCATGTTTACGCTGCCTGATAAAAATTCTCCTCAGTGGGGCGTTTTGTGATGACCTGGTTTCAGACAGATTTTAAACAATGTATTATTTTCTGTGTTGCTTACAGCTGATTTAAACTTATTTCCCCCCTCAGCCCTCTGAAGTCTCAGCTGCGCGTGGTTCTCGGCCAGCACCATTTCAACATCACCGGTCCCAACACTCAGACTTTTGACGTGGACGACTACGTCTTCCATAAACACTTCTCCATTTTTAATCCGACGCTACACGACATCGGTAAGCAGCCTTGTTTTATTGGTGACCCAGAAAAGTGTCTCCTCCTTCCATCCGATAATCAAATAAAACGTAGGAAATAAACTAATTTCTGAAGTGTGATTCACCACAGCGCAATCCGACAAATAGCTTGTAAAATGGTCTTCCCCACGCTCGGCATTAAGCACCAACTTCTTTTGATTTTTTAACATCTGCTTGTGTGCCGCCCCTCTTCATAACCCCCTGAGCGACTGCCCATCGTCCCATATCAAAAACTACCTCTGTCAGCAAGGATTCAGTTACAAGTGTCCCAGTGAGTCACTCTGGTTTGGACAAACAGCATCCTTGTTTAGAAACACTCAAATGAGTTAAGACCCCCACTCTGCGCTCGGAGCCGTGCGTCACTCAGCAGCTGCACTCTTTACTGCCGAGCGTTGCCCCCGGACTCCCACTTTCTTCAGCTTTCTAACCCATTTCGTAACCTCGTGTTTGTGTTTTTTTGATTGTTTTTTTCCCCCCTCTTCCTCTCAGTTCTAATCAAGCTGAAAAAGCAGGATGGGCGATGTGCGAGGAAAACCCCGTTCATCAGGCCCATCTGCCTCCCAGAAAAGAGCATGAAGTTTCCCGCGGGCTACTGCTGCGCGATCAGCGGCTGGGGACGCACGCAGGAAAGTTAGTCGAATCGGCACTAACGAGGAGTTTATTCACTCCCCAATCCCATAGAAGAAGACATTTTTTAAAATTATTATTATTATCTTTGACATAATTAATGAGCTATTTGTGGTTTCGACTTCACAGAGGCAAATGGTTACTCTACTCTGCAGGAGGCAGGAGTCAGGCTGGTTTCTCATGACATCTGCAAGCGACCACAAGTGTACGGGAACCATGTCACCGACGACATGATCTGCGCGGGGCTCAGTGGATGCGTGGATGCATGCCAGGTAGGCAGCGCATTTAGACGAGCGGAGAATGATTAGGAGGGTTAAAGCCTCCACTCTGAATAGGGCCTGCAGGAATTGCTGGGCACATAGTGAGGAGAAACTGTGAAGGTTTGTAGTAAATGGTTACAGTCTGATCAAAAGTATCCAAACCACCTTTTTCACATTTTGTCACATTGCAAAATTTGTTTGAATCGGACTATTCAAGCTGATGTGTAATGTAATTTGCAGGGATTTTGTTTCAGAGGTGAACAAAAATGAATAAACACTTTTGAATTGCGATCTGAAAAAACAGTGAGGTGAACATTTCTATTTAGCCCCACTTAAATAAAAATCAGTGTAACTTGCCTTGTTTTGATTCACTCAGATTATTTTTGCCACATGTTCTCAGTGTGATTCAAATCTGGACTACACCCATGCACATATTTAACAGGCCAGATTTATATGACCGATATGCGGCGTATGAATGCATCACACTAAAAATCTAACATTCCTCCAAATATTTCATCCAAGCAGCTCTGTGCAATCACATTAAAATGCGATGATGGCTGTAGTTCCGTGTTAAGGTCGAGAGCACCTCCAGGGCATCATCTTGTATTATTTTTGTTTTCAATAAAATCTAACTATATTGTTTTTAGTGCCTATTAAAGAGGCAACAATAAACAGGCAAGAAGCTCTATCACTGTGAAGAAAAAATAAATAAATTTGCATTTTACTTTATGTGTTTTGGAGGAATTTAAGTGAAACATTTTACATGTACGATTTTCTTTGTTGAATTATTAAAATCAAGGGAAACGAATAAAAGCTGACTTCAATTGCCCACAAATACAAGAAGAGATGCTTAATCATGATGTATTTTGGGAAATATAAACTCCAGGCTTGAGTTTACACCAGAGTGGTCGGTTTGAGTTAAAAACTTCTGCTCTCTAATTAAATGTAGCAGCATATGAGTTGTCAGCAGGGATTCTTTGGACAGAAGTGGAAGTTTTTGAGGCTCCTGCAGGCTCACAGGCATCGTCACCGAGACAAGTTTAAACTTGAAGCGTTTAAACTCCGTCCTCTCACGGCGAACGTCAGAGCGGACTGTTTATACCTCACTGGCAGAGAGCAATTTTTAGTGACGCATCGGGTTTCAAGTGTGTGACTGAGTTGTTTGCATGCGAGAGCTTTAATCTGTGTATGTATGTTTACACGCGTGAGCCATGTCCACTTATGTTCTTCCTCAGGGCGACTCTGGTGGCCCGCTGGCTTGTGCGAAAGGTGATGTCAGTTTTCTGTACGGGATCATCAGCTGGGGCGAGGGCTGCGACCGGCCGGGAAAACCCGGAGTTTACACCAGAGTGGTCAATTATCTCGACTGGATCCATTCCGTGATTAAACGGAAAAACGGGAAAACATGACAGTGTGTCACCTGGACTATCAACTTCATATTTTACTTGTATGTTTTTATGCTATTTTTGGAAGCAAATAGAAAATATATATGTATATATTTTTAACTGTGAAAAATATGTTTTAAATTACTTGACAAACCGTGAGTCTTTAAGACCAATAAAAGTGAACTTTAAACAAAACAACTACATTGAAACGTGTTTATATCTGCACAGCGACGATCAAAATCTTCTGCTTTTCTGATTATTTTAGAAGTCTGAGTTGAATTTTCTCCCATTTTCTTGCTGAACCAATGAAACCATTTTGATCAAAAAAAACATTTTGATCAAAAAAAAGAATCCTTGACAAAATCGTCAAGAGAAGGTGAAAGTCATGTTTTTAAAAACCGGGATTTAAACTCATCCCAGTGGAATTGCGATGAACCCAAAACACAAACTTAGGTAAATAACAGAAAATGACGATATTGGGTTCATAAAAGAGGTCAAAGGAACTGACCTTTTACTCAAACTGACAAGAAGAACAAAAACAAACAGATTTACCTTAATAAGACAAATGGGAAACTTTAATACTGGCTGATCAGCCCACACAAACACAAAAAGGGGAGAACACACACAAACTGAACTGAACCAATAGCATAAGAAAATCCCACTTCTCCTGGTGATGCTGAGTTTTGGTATGAATCAGTCTGCAGGTCTTCATGTCCTCACTCCATCCCTTTTACACCTCTTCGTTTCTGGACTGGAGCAGATGGCACTGAGGTAACAAAAACACAGAGATTAAAACAAGTCAGACTCATAGCAGTGTGTGACAGAACAGGGAAGAAGTTGTGGAGAAGATAATGTTGAGTGAGGTTAAAAAAAACAATGTTCCAGCATATAAATGTCTTCAATAGCAGCCATAGTGCTCCACATGAGCATTTTGAGCAAGGAGAGCATCACTCAGAAATACATCTACTAGGTCCAGTAAATCTGCAAGAACCGCAGCTAAAAAACAAGACAGCAATTATTTATGCATGTCATAAATCCGGGCTTTATGGAAGAAGAGAAATTAATTGTAATTCACAATTTAAACTTTATTGCTACATTCAAACTGCAGGTCTTTGACACTATATTTAGCAGTTTATGGCCCTGAAAAGACCAACAGAAGGCGACATGACAGAACCCACTGGTGGGTCCTGCGTGGACGGCTGCTCCTCTGCAGGCCCCAAGCCAATTAAAATTCTTGAAATTGTCTGAAATCTTAGGGAGAGAAGAAGGCAGTGCAGTCCTCACAAACAAGCCAATCAAGTCCCTTCTGTCTGGACAAGCATGAAGACCATGGAAAAACATGTCCAGGTGGTTTCCAGGTCACATCTCGGTTTTCCTGTAGATCATTTCCTAATAAACCCAGCACCTCTCACAACATCAGCGTCTCTTCCTCAATCCTGTTCCGGGAACCGGTTCACCCAACAGCCTTCGAACATGAGGAAGACCTCGTTCAGAGGAGAGGCTCAGCAACTTGATGGTGACTCTGAGCTTCTTCTTTCAGCCAAAACAGGACAGAGTCAGCAGCAAGTAGCATCCACTGGCGTTTTCTTGACTTAAAAGTCCAAATAAAATACATCAAATCTTCTGATTGCAATCTGATAACATTTTAATGTGAATGGGACTGAAAGCACTCAGCTGTTCATGAATTATGTGTAGCTTGTCTCCACCAGTGCTCCCAGCAGCAGCAGGTGGCTCAGCCCAGTCCAGGTGGCAGCCAGGAGTTTAACACCGGCTGCTGGAGCCCTGAAGGACGGACAGATAGGACACCAGGCCCCGGTCATGGCATTTCTCCCCCGCCTTGCTGTGGGTGGAGGGGGGGGGGCAGAGCGACCAGCGCAGCTATTTTGAAAGTGACCCCTCATTCAGGCAGCGACTCTGCAGCTGTCAGGAACCATGACTGAAGATGACGGAGTCTGTTGTCGTGGAGGGATACGCCAGACTCAGAGATGGGAAAAAGGTGCTCAGGTTTTTGTTTGTTTTGTTTTTGTCTTTTTCCGCTCCAGGGAGGAAAATATCAATAACTTCCGCAAACACGCCTGTGTGAGACTTTTTGTTTTTCCTTCACAGTGGAGGACTCGGTGGCTCGTGTTTCGTAAGCCGTCGCCTGTCGCAGGTAAGGAACCGCCGATGTGTCCACTGCGCGCTTTTGGTGCCTTTCACATCTGTGCGCAAGTTTATTTGCGCCACTTTGGAGAAAAATAGTAATTTGGACTTGAGCCGTAGTTTAAGGGCATATGTAACTTTTTTTATTTTTTTATTTTAACGTTAATCGCTTGAGTCTGTAAGTTTTGATGATGTCACATCTTTCTAATATTTGTTATGCTGAAAACATAACAAATATTAGCCGGACGGCGGTGGAAGGATGATGGTTTGGCGTGTAAAAATGAAGAAAATCAAATCAGTCTGTTTGTGTTCATCAAACTCAACAAATGTCAACTTGTTGTCAAACTTACAGCATGAGGCTGTTCTCAGATTGGACTATACTTCAATATGTCTTTATATATCTACGTGCCTCAAAGGGAAATTTGTTATGAATTTGTGCTGAACTGAATTGTGCTACTTTAGCTGAAATTATAGTTTATTGTTTGTTTGTTTGTTTGTTTTAAAGCTTCCTCTGATAAAGCTGTGCTCATTTTGCTTTTCTGAGTTAGAGTTATATGTTGACTTGGAGAAAGAAGGTCCCCGGTTCAAATCCAGGCCTGGGGATATTTCTGCAGTTTCAATGTTCTTCCCGTCTAAGCCTGGGTTCTGTCTGGGTAGAGGTTTATTTGCTTTCCAGGTTTATTAGTTGTCTTACATCATGCAACAATAGCTGGATATAGACGACACAGCGATGGGAAAACTCAAAATCACAATAAAAAAAATCTACTAATAGATTTTATGTATGAGGTTGACATATGTGAAACTTGTCAACATTTTTAAACAATTTCTCAACATTTCTCATTGCAGGATTGTTGCTGCGTTACTGCTCAGCTCAATGCTTAATACAATATACATTTAGCTGTCTCTAAAATTTTTAAAATGTAACATGGTCTGTAATGAAACACAGTAGTTTAATTTGATTCCTGTGCAGATTAAAGCTCTTTGGGTGTCATGTGGGACGTCCCAGTGAAGTGTGTGTTTTCTGTGTGGTGTGTTTTCTGTGTGGTGTGTTTTCTGTGTGGTGTGTATTCTGTGTGGTGTGTTTTCTGTGTGGTGTGTTTTCTGTGTGGTGTGTGTGGAGGGTATGTTGAGCTGCACAGCTTAACATGCTGCACAGGTTGAGTGGTGCTCCTCCTCAGATCTTTGATGTCAGTGTTGTTACAGCTGTCTGCACTAATGCTTTGTCTTTCTAAAAGTGTGTGTGTGTGTGTGTGTGTGCATGTGTGTGTGTGCGTGCGTGTGTGTACGTGAAGGACGGTAGGATGCGGACGTGCTGCTGTTTTGTCAGTTGACACTGAGTTGTTCTTGAAAGGTGTCAACAGGCTGGAGGACACACCAGCGGCTACTGTCGGTCAGAATATGGAGTCAAAGTAGAAATAAATGTATATGTTGTGTTTGAGGAAACATCTTGAATTATTAATACTTCTCATCAATTATTTGATAAAAATGCCATCAGTATGTGAAAAACAAGTCTGCTCTTTCTGTCTCCATAACAGTGTTTGCTGCTCAAATCAAATCCAGTATCCGAGCATCAGCCTCTAAAACAGGAAAATATGTTGTATTTATGAGATGATTTCTGTCATTATTTTAGTATTTAGTGAATATGAATGTATTTAATAATTTTACCTGGAAACAAGAAAAGCTTTGTCTGTTTTAATGTCAGTGTTATTTTTTTATCTGGTGCATCTAAATCTCATTTCAACTGTATTTAAGTAAAACAAGTAACTTTTAGGAGTCTAAATGTTAATTTAGACGTGTGTACCTCTAACTTTGAGTATTTATTTATTTATTTTACTCATCCTGTGTAAAACTCTTTGTCTCTCCACTCCAGATTGCCTCGTTTTAGTGGTTTTTAAAGACAAATCAGACAAATCCCAGAGCAGCAGAGAGAGGGCGAGCGTCACCTTGGAGGAGATCTGTGGCCTGGAACCTGGACAGTTGTATGAAGGTGTGGCTTTTACTCTGGCCGTCCTCTGCCTGAACCAGGTCGCGCTGCTGGGCTTCGACAGCAGGGAGGCCCTGCAGGCGTGGGAGCTCCGCCTGCGCTACGGCCTTGGCGAGGGTGAGGACCAACGGACTCCAAAATGTTTCGTTATTTCTTCTCTGTGATAAAATCCCAGAACTTTGGCAGCTTCAGTTTCAAATTACCAAACAAGGAAACATATACATTTTTAAGCATGCAATCTGATGTGAACCAATCAGGACTTTCCCGTCTGATTCCAAATTCTTTTTTTTTGTAAATGCGAGAACAAAAAAATGCAGGAGCATCCCCGTGTAATCTTCAGCACGTCTCCCTTGTGTTTTTGTGATTTTAATTGGATTTAAAATAACTGAATGCAGTACAAGTGAATGTTTCCATTATGGTGATTTGTAACTTGAAATTCTCGTATTCAGACCATCTCTTATGACAACTTGTCTTTGAACAATGAGCATTTCTGGCATTGCAGTGAGAGTCACTGCCGTGTAACCCTGTGGAGCTGTTATATAACCTACATAGAAACTAATAATAGCATTGAACTGTTCATCAGTTGGCAGCTGAATGGTAAATATGTCTCTGATGACAGTCCTGTTGGAAACGACTTTGCAAACGATGCCAGGGAGAAATCACGTCACACTTGTTCCTCCGAGTTTTGGTGTTTGTCAGAGTGCGACTGTTGCTTATTTCAAGTAAGTAAACTTTATTTCAAATCTGACAAAGTGACTTATGGCGGGAATGGGCTTAAAATGAGTTGAAATTAAACATAAACGAGAACAGAGTCGATAAGCCGGCAGCCATCTAACATTATAGAAACTTAAACTATTTATAACGGCTCTGGAGGAGGATTTATCCCCTCTGGTTTTAGAACGCATGACCTCAACAGGGCTCTAAAAGTGAAGACTGTGATTTTAAAATTCATTTCAAAAGGTTTTAAAACTGCAGAAGAGCTTTAATATGTTTGATAAACCAACTACATCCAAAAGTATTTTGATCAACAGAGTCAAAGGTGGATGTAAGGTCCAAAATATAACTAGAAATTTAAAGTAAATCAGTTTTTGTGGAGTGACGTTTGTAAAAACCAGGTTAAAATTTGTGAAACGGCTCCCATTTATCAAAAAGAAAAAAGAAAGAAAAACAAGAAATGAGCTGTTCTGTCACTACCTTTTCAAAACCCTTTGACATAAAAATAATCTTGGAGAAAGGTCTGTAATTTAATAATTTTTGAGCCGTGTAGGACCAAAATTCTAGTTTTATTTTCGGTCGTGGCTCAGCAACATCATGCTTGAAAGAGCTACACTTGTTAAAAGTGAATTATTCCAAATTTCTACAGAGCTTGTAGGTGAGCTTCTGCTTAATGGCACAGAATGGAAATCATCCAAACCTGCACACATGCCACCTGCAGCAGCTACGTTGGCCCAGGGCCAGCTTGCCTGGTGCTTCTATCGCCTTGTGTGCCACTGCATGAATCTCTCTCAACCTGAGTGATGATGTGAAGCTGCCGGCCAACTCTTTGTCATTGTCACCAACGTTAATCTCATCTGTTTGTCTCGGGTTCCTTATTAATCCTGCACCTGTGGAAAGCTGCAGAAAGTTTGGGTTGGAGAAGCACAAGCCTTTTAACCAGAGTTTTCTCTACTCCTCAACTCGGAAACGATTTTCTACTGTGTTTTTCAGACTATAAGCCGCCACTTTTTTCCCCACATTCTGAACGTTGTGGCTTATTTATATATGTTTAAAGTTTTTTTTTTTTTACTTTGTGGGTACGGCTTATATTGAGGGGCCCTCTGTAGTTCAGAAAATACGGTACTTTACATTTTTTCCTCAGATTTTCTTACGCACTTTGCTCACATCCAGAGTTTATTAAAGTTTTGCATCTGTTGTCGCTCCGTCTGCTCAGTTCACAGATTCGCCGTTGGGGTTTTACCAGGGACCAAGCTGGAGAGCGGACCTGCCACTCTTCACCTGTGCAACAACCTTCTGGCCCTCGTCCGGGACTTTCCTCCCGTCATCATCGGACACTGGAACCTGCCGGACCTGCGCAGATACGGACCGGTGCCGAATGGATTCGTGTTTGAAGGGGGAACAAGATGTGGATACTGTAAGTAGATTTAGTCATGATGCTCCAGCTTTGTGTCTGCAAATCGCTTCCATACAACTCGGCACTTAAAGAAGCTCTTTGATTTTATTAATGATGCAAACTTTCTCTCGTTAATTCACTGATGAAGATGTGTCAGACTTCTCCCCCCAAAGTTTCCTGTTGACGTAGTCGCGCCAAGTTGGGAATTTTTTTTCTGCTATTTGTCGTGTGAAGTACAATTCATCCAGCTTTTGAGAAATGATTGAAGGAACACAACAAAGCATTTGCTCTGCTTTTTATTGTCTGGTTATTAAAAACACGTGGATAAGGATATAAAATATAAAGTTTAATCAGATGTTTCTCATTCCTTGTCAAATCTGAGTTCTTTGAGCTTTAATGAAGGATTTTTGGCTTCCGACTCTCTTCTTCTGTTTTTTTTTTTTCTTCTTCTTGTGCATCTGGCCTCTCTCACGCAGACACATTAGCCAAGACAGATGGATTTTATTGTTAACTCTAATTTTTTTTAAGAGTACATCCACAAATTTCTCCCCAAGAAGACATTTTTTAAATTGTTTGTTTTGTTGCTTTTTGTTTGAAAAATCTTCCTGGGTAACTTTTGTTTTTATGTGCTAATTTTTTGGCTGTTTATATTTTCTCTGTGGTTTGATCTTCATTTAAAATTTCAGGAAGTATTTTACTTATTAGTCAGATTTTATTCCTGTTAATTTTCAATGATCACCACAATATGATGTGCAGCTCCGCGTGTAGAACTGCGAGCTCATTGCAGCAGCGACTCAATTTTTCCCATAACTAACATTCAGAACAACGTTATTAACTATTTAGGCATTTTAAGTGAAGAACTCAAACTTTAATATATTAGAGTTTTTGGCCTGCATACATGGAGCATTAATGACATTTTAGTCTGTGAAGAATCTTTGACTCCAAACTTTTATTTTAGAAACTGCACCTATTCAAAATCTCCTGACTAGTAAGATCTTTTTTCTTGTTGAGAAATCAATTTATTGTGCACACCAATGCCTTGTTCTGCAAATATGGAGAAAAGGTTTTCTAAATTATTCAAAATGCACGATTCAGTTTCCCCCAGTGCATTATAAGCCTGGCGGGCCACCAGGCTTTAATTGTCTTTTCAAAATGTTTGTATGTTTAAGACTTTATAGTTGGTATTCAGGTGTTAATATTTCAGTCTTTTAATAACACATAATTATCAAGTGATATTTTCAAATTTCTTGTCAACTTTAAACATTTTTTGACTCAGAGAGATGACAGACCGCTGGATGAATGACTGCTAAGCACCCAACCACTGGGCTTAGCAAGTTTTCTGGGGGAAACTTGATGATTACTTGTACTTTATTTCTCCCTAAAAGAGACTGGAACAAACTCCAACTATGTTCCTTGGTTTTCCCTGCAACATGATGCTTTAGAGGTGCCAGGTTATGTATTGCTCTGCAGTACTTCATCCCTGGTGTGTATGAAGCTTCAGAGCCTCGGGCTCATCAAGCTCAGAGGATGAAGAAGGTGTCTTGAGATGAGAGAATCTCGGGTCGGCTGAAGACGGACAGATGGATGGATAAATCCAAAAAAAACGAAAACCAAAGATGTTTGATTGTTGGCGAATTTCATTGCGTAGTTCTGCAAAGCAAAGAACTGACTTAAAGCAGTTAGGATTGGGAGTGAGGAAACATATGGCAACATTAGACATTTGCTTTTTATGAAGCAATTAAATGTAGGAGCATCAGTTCCCACATTACAAAGTAGTGAACATGATGAGAATGGTGAAACTTTCTGCCAACAGAACCACACACAGCAGATAAAACCACCAGGCACTGCTTTAACTTTCACTTACAAAACAACAAGTACAATCTGGTAATGTAATCTCTGAGTACAGTTTATCCGCAGCAGCTCAGGGACGAGTGTAGCTGAAGCTTCTTCTTTTGGCAGCACACTGAGCTGTTGTCTGTGTCCTCTCTCAGGGCCGCTCCTTTGTGGGAAATATGAGCCGCTCTCCCAGAACCGCTCAAGGTTCTGCTCAGTGTTTTCCGCTATCAGTGGGTGTTTAGCTTGGTGCTGCAATGACAGATGGCTAATGAAAGCAGCAAAAGATTCAGGCTAAGTTTTCACTCGCCTTCAAGTTTTGTACCAATGGACTATTAAGTGCACATTTAGATCAGCGTAGTTTAATTTCTCAAATTACCGTAAGCTTCACTTTCTTAATTTAGGATTTACTCTCCAATCGTAGACAGTAATGTTCAGCATTTTAACTGCCGTAAGCTGATATATTTCTTAAAAGATCAACACATTAATAAGTAATAAGAATAATCTTTGAGTGCCCAGTTATTTTCCAAATAATGCCAGTGATTGATTTAAAATGGGTGAAATGAGAATTATTTTTTTATGTATAACTGATCATATTACATTTGGAAATGTACCGCCAACTTTTTTTCAGCTCTGTGAATTACATTTGCCTCAAACTACCTCTGCAAGCTCACTTAATTTTTTTGCTCTAAAATAACTTTCTTGGCTTTCATCAGAACTATTCAATTATGTTCAAGAGATTTATCTATGTCAGGAATTCACACAAGACCTCAAATGAACCTTTCCAGCAAAGCAGATGAGAAACACAGCTTTAAAAAAATATAACCTTGGTGAACAGTGTGCTTGATTGACACTGGTAAGTTTCATCATTAATAATTAGCAATGCAAGTATACTCTGTGTTTTCTGCAACCTGCTGCCTGCATCTCTTTGGAACATTGTTGCTTTGTGGTGATTTTTCCTTTGAAATAGTGAAACTATTTTGTTTCGTTTCCACGTTTTCTCTGGGACAATTTCCCTAAATCGTTTCAGCCTGTAGACATAATGCAGAAACAGGGGTGCAAAGGCCCGGCACACTTTTCAGAGTTTAAGCTAAGAACCATGTACTTTCCTGCTGTTATCAGAAACTCTTGGCTCTTGAGTGCATGTGAAGATCCAGGCAAGCTCACACCTCCTACCTCCTGGACCAGTTTAATAAGTTCTGCCGCTTTTTATAGAGACCGTGTTTTGTCACTGGTTGAAGCAGAAGCCACAAGGGTCCACTTGAGTTTTTATTTTCTTTGTTTTTACTCAGAATAATGTGAGCCAAATAAACTCTGAAACCTGTGCTTTGCGGTTATTTTGCACCCTAGCTTTTGGCAGTGCACCTGATGCTCTTTGTCTGCTAATAAAAGTTCAACTTGTGGGTGTACAGTCACAGGTTTCAAGTTTCATAACTAGCTAGTTGGCTTGTCTGGACTAGACATGCCTTGATTAGATAACACAACAGCGAGCAGCCTGCAGATTCTCAGTTTCACCCGGTGCAGACATTCGAGCAGACTTCCCTGCTGACCTTTGACCTCAGTGGCATTGGAAATACGATTTACAAGGGTGGTCTTGAGGAATGGAGCGACCTTTTTAATTGTTTGTGTCAGCTGTACAGTCAGAGATGTCGGAGACCTTTGACCTTACGACGGGTTTTGTTTTCTTTGAGGCTCCGAGCTGAAAGACGGACGTTTTAGTCTCAACCTACTGCATTGGTCTGATGTTAAATTTAACAGCGGCGTGCTGAGCGTAAGAATCGTCACTTCAGAGCTTTAAGTGGCAAGTTAGCAGTGAACCCTGTGTCAACTTTGAGGTTTATTACTCGTCTTGAGACCATCTGTGTGTCTGAAATGGGCTCATTAACTGGAGTCACGGTGTGCGATTTGCCTCTGGATCATTTGGAAAGTATCAACTATTAATTTAAAACATTTTTTTAAACGTCTTCAACATTTAGTAGGATCTCATAAAGGTCTTAGCTGAAATTTGGGAATGATTTTAATAACTTTAAACCCCGTTAAAGACCTCATTATTGGTACAGATGGCAATGGGTGTGTTTTTGTTTTTACCAAGACTATCTGATGCCAGAAATGCTCTTTTTGTTACAGAATGCTGTAGAGCAGGACCTAAAGTGCAAAGGAGGCAGGAGGTTAAAAAATAAACTACTTACTTTTAACAAAATCAGAAAACTTAAAAACTCGTAAAAATCAAAAGTCAGGAAGAATAACGAGGACCAGAGGAGAAGCACTGAACTAACTCTGAAATACATTTAACCTGGAGAGGTGATTACTGGACAAGGAGTCTGACTAGAAACAGGGTGTAGCTGCGATGAGAGCAAGTAACTGCAGTTGATCTCAGGGAAAGAGAGAAATGTGTGACTGAATGCACAGGGAACATTGGAAACAATTACAGAAATACCAACAAACCAGAGATTAATGAAAGTTAGTCAGCCCAACATAGGACGTGATGAATATTCAAGCAAAGCTGAAGACCAGAGAACGCAGAAGAAACAAATATAGTAAAGACAGTTTTTCACTAAATATTGCCACAAAGAGCTGAAAATACATTTGAAAAATCGAAGTTAAGAACAAGGAATCTCAAAACTGAAGAAATGACTGAAGATTGTGACACTTGCTATGTTTGACTTTCACAGACTTTTAGGTTATGGTGGAAATTTTACCAACTGTGTGCTCTTTAAATTTTTGCCCACAAGTCTTACGGTATTTACAGCAGAACCTCATGAAGATATCAGTGTGGTTTATTAGCCAATAAATGTTATTTAAAAAAACAACAAAAACGTAGACTGATGACGTCCACTTTCTACAGGGGCTGGAGTTTTTCTTCTGGCATCAGCAGAGGGCGAGCAGATCAGCTTCCTGTTCGACTGCATCGTTAGAGGCATCTGCCCCAGCAAAGCTCCGTTCGGACTGCGGCCCGTTTTGCCAGGTAAGCGCTGCAAAACGTTTTCCCTCCAAAGCTCAAAAAGATATGCGAAAAAAAAGTGTAAATAAATAACACAGAGAGCTTTTAGATTCCAGAACAATTATACAAAAAGAGGCAACGTAAGCAGAGCCTGATACTCGTCTGCTGCGTTTCATGCAAAGATCGACCCAAGCCGCCGTGTTGAAACTATTTCTGCAGAATGAGTTGGTGGATTCAAGAATCCATCACTAAGATGTCTTTTATCCCATTTGATAATCCTGTGAATCAGTCAAGAATTCAGACAGCATCTGACTTGAGGTGTTTTGAAGTGAATAGAAGTTCTTTGGGCCACCTTAAATGTAACACAAGGACAAAGATTTTCCTCCAGCTTCTCTGCAGATACAAGGGGAACCAACATTGAAATAAGAACAAAAAGTCTCTTCTGTTAATTGCCAACTTAAACAGCAATTATTTTCTTTTATTAGGAGTTGGAAACAGAGAACCCAAACCCATGAGGTCGAACAAGTATTAAAAAGATGTTTTCCTGCTTTAATTATTAGACAGTGGTTTCCAACCACAGTTTTTTTTTCATTTAAAAACTTTTATATGTGAATTTGAGTCCGTTGGAAGTTTACATACTCTTATTATGTCCCTACTGAAGACCTCTGTCCTGTAAGAAACGTTGCTGTCTTTTATTTCCCACAGTGCTACCTGCAGAGGTTTGTGCATGTTGCAGTTTTCACTCATCTCGCCGCCCAATCACAGGTTGAGCTCATCTTCCTATTATTAGAGTGCGAAGAGCAATAAATAGCCGGGACGATGTTGGAGAGGGGCCTTCGGGCTCAAAGTCATAGTTCACACAAGCAGAGAAGCCAAAGCCTCCTAATCACTCTGAGCATGTGTGTAACCTCATCCAAAGGATTCCTCTGCTGCCTCCTCTGATCAGTCAACCAGCGCTCAACTCTCCCTGCTGATGTTTTTGTCACTTTTTAAGGTTCTGCCGTCATAAATCTTCTCTGCGGTGAACAGTTTGTTTTCACTTTAGGTCCGCGCCGTATCATCCTGCAGGTTGCCTGACAGTTTTGATTAACTGCTGTGATGACGCCGGGTTCACTTGTCGCTCTGAGCCGCTGTGCTCCTCAGTAACACAAACTCTATTAGCTTTCTGATCTGCATTCTTAATTTAAGATTTATTAAGTTTGAAATATTAATTAGAGATGTAAAAGCAGGTTATCTTAAAGGCAAATAGCAGTGACTTTTTTGGCATGTTTTGTAATTTGCATGTCATTATGGATTTCTTTATTAAACTTTCATTCGATTTGTCGTGCCTGTAGATACAGGAACAGTTTTGAAAGAAAACATCCATTTTTTTTAAAAAGTCGTGGCATTGCAAAACTACTTCCTTTTATAGTCCAAAAACATGACTGTGGTAAATTTACTTGGGCCTGTCTAGAATTACCCAGGGGTGTGAATGTGTGTCTGGCAACGTGTCCACGGAAATGAGTGGAAAGGAAAAAAACACGGTGTTCTAATAAGGTCTTTAAAAAGTCTTAAAACTGCGGCATCTACATGTTCAGCCAGCTTCACTTATTTACTCTTTAATAAAATCCAGGAAACCCACCTAATTAGTTAAAACATCACACTTGTGTGTGTGTGTGTGTGTGTGTGTGTGTGTGTGTGTGTGTGTGTGTGTGTGTGTGTGTGTTTATCCCTAAATGGAAAAGTTCCTCTCAGAAAGACCTGTATCTGTGAAAACAAAACTTATGATTTCTTGTACAGTTGGAGCAAAAATAAAAAAATGATTATTGCAGGTCACATTGCACTGTCGGGCACATTTATTTATTGCTGTTTTGATGTTGACACACGGATCAATACGATCGTTAAATGAGAATCAGCTGTTTGATTTACACAACACATTGTTTCATTTATGTTACAACAATTAAATTCTCCATCACTCACTGCAGTGAGGTAAATGTAGTTGTTATTTTGTGGATGTTTTTGTAACAATTTTACACAATCGTTGACTAATTGCTATTTTTTAGGTAACGTATTTTCACTGTTTTTTTGTGGATCGTCACTCTTATAGTATTTGACTTTGTTGCTGGTCTGCACTTGTTGCTCTCGTCTTGTGACATATTAACTAAATATTGCCATCTTCTTTGTGTAATGGCCTAAGTCTTTTTTTTTATTATTTGCCAAAAGTGATTTCAGCAAACAAATCACTGCCTCATTTTTGCCAAGATTATTAAGGCAAAAAATGACTTAGGCGATTATTTTAGGAAGTTTTACGACTGTTAAAGAAAAACTACTTGACTTTAATAAAACTAACGAATAGCGCTGCATTTCACAACTTTCTAAACCACAGACATGGATTTATACATTGTGTGAAAATTTCTCAAGCATCTCATTCTGGGATTTTAATGAAGCCCCTACTCTAACATAGTTGTGGAAATGCTGCCAAATTAGTTTTCTTCTTTAGTCTCAATGTGTTTTTTTGTAAAAACGCAGAGTAAAAATGTTTCTTTTTAGCGAAACGCAATCTCATATTTACTAAAAACTTTGCTCAGGATCGGAAAGATCAAACAGAAATCGGACCTCTGAATCAATTCAGGGTCAGGGTTGACCTTGGCGATTCGAGGTACATTAGATCCTTGCTCGGCTCCAAGAATCTTACCAGCAGCAGCAATAGAAAGCATGCCAAAGGAGCCACGTGGCAGTGCTATTAATAAACCCTGTACTGGTGCACAAACATTGCAATGCTAGACCCTTTTTTCCAGGCCCGGCCAAAGCTTCAGGATTCTCACAGTTTAACCTTTCATCACACCTTTCTCCTATATCTATCCTGAAGATTTTTTTGTTGTTGTTTATAATTTAAAATAGATTTTTTTTTTTTCTTTTTTGCAGAACTCAATTCAGGCCAAACAAATTCAGAGGAGAAGCTGAACCTGGAAACCCAGGAGCTGGAGAAGCGGCTGAGCATGCTCTCTCGTGGGACCAGCACAGGTGGGATCCTCCAACCCGGGGCTGTCAGAGTCTTTGTGGCACAGCACAGACTGATGTACCAAGTGGCAAATTTCACTTATAAAAAAAACCACAGCGACAGATGTTTGGATAAAACCAAAGGTAGTATGTACATAATGCAATGATGAATTATCCTTCCACCAAAATGTCCTGAATGTGAAAACCTGGGAAACAGAATCTTCAAATTGTTTGGTTTGAGACTGTAAGTAGTTTCTGTTAAAATATGTTTTCAAAAGGTGCAATTTTACATTTCAAGCTTACAAACTTGAGCATAGTGATTATGATATCATGCTATTTTTATTTGTTTTATAAAATGTTAAACATAATGTATACTTTTTTCTTGGCAGTCTCATCCACTTACTTCCCATCTGCTGGGGGAGACGACCGCAGCATATCTGGCTCCTCCGACACGTCCGACACCAGCCAGTCAGACTGCAGCATCGGCAGCAGGCTGGCCATTTGGACCGAACCCGCCTCAAACATCATCGGAAGCGCTAAGGTGCCGCTGCAGACTGTAGAGAAGCTCTCGGCCGGCCCGGGAGGCGGGGGCCGACCTTCGGTCAAGCCGCCCCGGCAGCTTCAGGACATCGGCCGTCAGAGCTCTTCAGACAGCGGCATCGCCACTGGCAGCCAGTCGTCCTACTCTGGGAGCTTCTCCTCGTACACTGGCAGCCTGGACATTGCCCCAGGGGAGGATTTTGGCTCCGTGTTCAGTTTACCCCCTCAGCTGGCTCAAGAGCTAAGCCCGTGCAGCTGCCCCACTGCTCCTGGACAGGAGTACCAGGTGCCATCATCGCTTCTTGGGTACCTCTATGACTCTCCCAGGAGAGTGTTGCATGAAACGAGTGGGGGCGACAAAGACTGTGAGCCCTTTAAATCAACTGAAGACCACCCTGTTCCTTCAGACTGCCCAACAGAGTCTGATTTGGGGGGCGCAGGTGGAGCAACAACAGCTGAGGTTCAGTCAGAGGCGACGGATGAACAATCAGATTCCGCACAAGCACAGGGCCCTTCAAGTGATGGCAGGAAAACAAAGGCGCTGCCCTCTAGTGGGTCCTCTCTTAGCTGCAGCTCCCTCTCTGCCTCCAAAACTGTAGTGGCCGTCTGCTCAGTGTGTGGTGGGTTTAAGGTAAGAGAAACTGATCGTTTCTCCTTTTGATGTGTCAGGCAGCCTCAGCTTTGTGTTCGCGTTATCAGCAGCATCTCATCTGCTCAGTGGATTATTGTAACACTGACCTTTGTTGGTTCAAGCTGCGTTTTGGTGGCAGGATGTCTAACAAACCCACGCCCCATCTGACTAACAAGTCAGCATAGCAGCCCATTTAGCTTCAGAGTGAGCTGCCAGCGAGTCTCTCACTCTTTTCTGTCTACTTTTGTTGGTGCGTCTTTTACATTTGAAGCATTTAGGTGCTTTTGATTAAAACTAATTGTTGTCTTTATTCTTCAGATTTGTATGATTATGCTGTCGCCTGAGATGATGCATATTCCTGCTTCATAATTATTGCTTTTGGGCTGAAAATTCAGTAATTCATCTCATTTATCAACTTCAGTGTTAGTACGTATTTTTTTCAGTGTTTGTATTTTAACAATTAGTTTTCCGGGTGGGTGGAAATCAAACCTCAGGAATTATGAATGTGACATATTCCCTATGCAATGTGTGTGGTTGTTTGCTGATTTGGAAAGTTTGTTCACGGTGATCAAAACAGACTCTAATTTTTATACCGGCTACTTTGTAAGGTACAGATGATTAGTTAGGATCCTTTCTTGACTTCTGGACTTTGTGGCACAGATTCAATGTGTTAACATTCCTGAGGTGTCATGGTCCATATTGTCATGAAAACATCACTAGAATTAAAATCTCCCATTTAGATAAAATTAAGATGCATAGAGTCAGGAAGCATCTTTCCAATTTTATATTGTCCAGTTTTTTTGAGTGCGAGTTATTTTTAGCCTGAGCTTCCTGTTGTTGGCTGGCAAGGAGTGGCATCATATGTGGTCTGATGCTTTTACCTGATTTAAGGCTGGTAACCTTGGCAACCTTGATTGTAAAGGGTTGTTATTTGAGCTCCTCCTGTCTTTCTTCATCTCATACCGGTCTGTCCAATCTCCTATGACATCAGCAAGGCATTTTCATCCACAAAGCAGCCAGATACGTTTTTTTTGTTGTTTTCTGTTTGGACCATTTCATGCCAAGCTGAGAGATTGGTGTGTTTCAAACTACTAATGGAGCAGCAGTTTCTGAAATATTGAGACAAGCTCAGCAATTCAAAGTCACTCTGCTGACAGTTTCTTTCATACCAAATGCATTAATTGCTGTAAGTCATCATAAGCCAACAGGAAAGCTGGAGAGATGGGGAAACTGCAAACTTCACACAACACTGGCAGCTAATTTTGAATATTTTAGATTCTGAAGGGCTCTAAAGCCAACTATGAAGGAAACAGTTTATTTGCATTATAATGTCACATTTTTATTGTTTCATAGGGTAACCCCTACATCCAAATGAGTTCTTCAGGAATACCAACCTTACCAGGTAAGAAAAAAATCTCTTTAAAGCTTTATGAACATAGTGCATGTGTTGTTTCTTGCATGAGCAGAAGCATCGATGCATGCTGGGAAAACTCAGTAATCCGTCAGCCGTTCACTGTCATGCACACCACTGCAGTGACGAAAGCTCTGGACATGTCCCGGGCCTCCACTGGATGCATGATGGAGTCGCCAAGAGTGCAGCCGGGTGATGAGTCTCCAAAGAGAGGAGAGAGAGAAATAGCCGACCTCTTATCTGATCTGCTCAGCTTCCTGAGTGCAGGCGGCCAGCCGCACACGGCGAACCTGTACGAGTCAATGAGCCCCGCTCAGGCAAATGAGCTCATTTTGGCACAGGCTGCGCCGCCGCGGGGCTCCCAGCAGGACAAAAGACCTGCCGTTTATGAAAACTGTTTGAAGTGTCGGGGAGAGCTCTGCCAACCTCCGCTGCAGGCCGCGCCTGCTAAAATGCCCCGCAGCAGGGGCATTCATGGTTGTCAGAGCTTCCCGACTGGACTGTACCTGAAGAAAAGCCAAGGCAGCGACAGAACTGCTGATGAGGAGCTGCTTCACAAACTCCTCAGGGATGTTGATGAGCGGTGTCGGCCGGAAGACACAAATGTCTCGACGGGAAGTGAAGGTAAGAGAGACCCCCCGGTGTCCTTTGTGCCTCTCTCCTCTGAAGTGGATCTTCTCTTCGTCCTTTTTTCTTCTGCTTCCTGCCAGGTTTTGTTTAATCAAATAGGTTTTTACTCGTTGCACTGATTGATGTTTGCCTCTTTTGTCATTTTCAACTAAGCTCACCTGAACCTACACTATACAGACTGAGGAATTTGACTATTGCCTGCATATTCTTCTAATAAATGTTTTTTTTTTTCATATTTTATGAATAACTTCTTTTAAGATGAATCTAATGAATAAGGTTGTTACTTTGCAAAGTTTATGCAAGATTATGAAGTGCAATTCAATCAAAAAATTGACACCAAAATAAACGGATTAAACAAAACATAAAGATTGTTTTTAGTATTATTGTGTATTGGACATGCATGGTACAGTCATGTAAAAACACCCTGTGTGCTTGCTAACATATTTGAACATATAGCTATTCAATAATAATTTTACAAGCTTCTTACAAATGCATCTTAATTGTAGTAAAAAAATTAATTTTATTTCCTCTTAGAATGGCACTAATGGTTGATTGGAAATTAAGATTACAAATATGTGTGTCTCTTCTCTGTAAACAAGGCATCTGAATAATTTGTTCTAAGAGAAACGATAATTTACGTGCTCTGAGTGTAATTGTAGAGCATGGCGTCAGTTAAGCAAACATATTCTCCTGTTCTACCAGAGAAAAAGCTCGATGGTAAAGAAGAACGATGCAGAGCTGATCCTGCTTATGAGGTCATGGAGAGTCGGATGCCGGAGAAACACCCAGAGGTACGTTGACACAACGCTGCGATCCGGTTCACACAATCAGCTTTTCACACATCACTTTATTTAAACCAGCGAAGTGGATGTTGTATTGGTTCATAAGTCCTGAATGTCGGATTCAAGAAATAAAATATAATCTTTCGCATTTTTTTGTTTTCAGTCTTACTGATTTTTAGTTTCTCATTTTATGTTTGGAATAAAATAAATCACTTGATTATTAGTTGTTGTTTATTTGGTTTATGTGATGATTAGTGTCAGTAATTTCAACAAGTGGCATACAATGCATGTTACTCTTTGATATTAACATTAATGTTCATAGTTGAATTGATTTTCAGAGGTTTATCTAAGAAAACAAATATTTTTAGCATTTTTAAAATTTTGTTTGTATAAAACGTACATTAACGACCCAAATAACTCATGAATTCACAAATAAGGGTGTTAACTTTTCTTTTTTTCATTCTAAAAAATTCCCATTTACCTGAATGTAAGAGAGTGGGTTCTGAGTGCAGCTGAAGGATTGCTGTGCTTTGGGGTGGAGGCGTTTAGCAGAGGAAAAGCAATACATGTTCTCAGGTCAGAGGGCCTGAAAGTCTCCAGTAACCCCAGAAAAACCCTTAACTCCTTTTTTTGAAAAAGTTTCTTTGTGGGAATTTGAAAACTGTCTCAATAATAGCTGCAGAATTGCTACACTGACAACACTTCTGCCGTCCTGGCTTCCCACAGAGCCGATCGCATCAGACGCAGACAGAAACATATAGTGACCAACACGGCCTCTTTTAGGGCTGTCAGGACAAATCATTTGCTAAAATAGGCATTAAAAAGTACAGTTTACCAAAATTCATCTGGTAACTTTTGATCTGTCGTGAAAATGCACAGCAGCAGCTGTGACAATAATTAAAACCTACAAAGCAAACATGAAGTTTTATTCTTATTGGTATCAAGTTGACAATATGTCATTTTCTATTGTGAAATTTAACTATGTAAGCTGCAGCTGCACAGAATCACAGACATGGAAGCAGCAAAAAGGACTTAAAATAAGTTTCTGCGGACTGTGACATTTTTAAATGATTGCTTTGATAGAAATCTAATACTAGTTTTCAGTTTATACAACTCGATATTTACCAAACACTGATTTCAATATGAGGACTTTATTTAATGTAGCCTTCGTAGATTAAAGTTTCAAGTTAACTTTTAATTTTACCAGCATGTCTCTTTGAAATAAAAGCAAGACTTGATATTTTAGAGCGGTCCAGGCAGCGTCCAACTTGAATTTGATGTCATATCTATGGAAACAGACAAAGATTAAATTGATGGAAATTAGCTCTTTTAATCCCAAGCAGCTCATAATCAGATTTTTTTTTAAAATACCACTGGAAATCACTATTGAGCAATTATAAGAAGAGTTTGAGTGCTGTGATGCAGACAAATTTTATGACTTATGATTTCATGACTTTCATGAAACATTGTGATAAAAAAATATGATCTAGCAGTGAGCTCAGATAGAAATATATCACGAAATATATTACACCTTACATTCCAGCCTTGATTGTAATGGTGGCCACATGAAGTCTGTGGTCTTTGATCAATTTTCCCAGCAGTGTTGCTGTCGGGTGTCTGGGATTACACGACTGAGCTCTGAGTAGCAGCGCTTTGGATAATAACACTTTGGACATGGTTTCCACAAATGAGACAAGGTCTGACTCCTCAGTAAATCCTGCTCATCCTCTCTGTCCTTAAATCCTCCTGACATGTCCACTGAGTAGGGTAAAAAGTAGAAAATCACACTCACATAATGAAGTCATGCACTTGGTATGGCCACTCACTGCAAATTATGTTTAAGAGTGCTCACTTTTCTGTATTCCAGGCGGAAGAGAAGAGCAAATACGAGCTGATGGGCAGCTACAGCCAGCAGAGGTTCCTCCAAGAGACTGAAGGTGAGTGAAAACCACTTCATTTGGTCACCATATCCAGGCAGGTTTTGACTTAATTTGCTTTCATCCAACCACCCTGTCAATCATTTACAACTCAGGTTTCCTAAAATAACCACAAGCCACTTATCGATAGTGAAATAAACGGATGAGTCACCCACTTGAATCAAGATTGCTTTGACGCTTCACCTGTTGCTTGGTGTGCGAGAATCGAAATGAGTCTATTAAAATAACTCAGTCTGCAGAAGCAGACAAACAGATGGCACAATATCCCTGAGGAGGGAGGAACATCCACGCTGTAATTCACTTTGTTCAGGCAAATGGACCAAGTGGACTGTGCCGTCGGTGAACATTGTTTTTACAAATTGTTTTCCATGTATGGAGCAGAGCAACGCGTCACTCGCCAGCTGTCGGTGGAAATAGTTTTAATGAAAAAAGGATGAACACAAACACAGCGGGTGTGGCTTGTTTAAACTGGTCAAAATTTGCAATTTTTGTTCATTTATGTGAACTAGAAAATTGGTGCATATACCCAAAAACCGTTATATTTTTGCAGAGAAAAAGTTTCCCATTTCAACATTTTGTCAAGTTGAGGGTTGTTAACAACTTTTAGCTCAAAAGTTTAGTGTAAGAAAGAGTTAGTATTACCAACTCAGAAACCCATGCCGTTTTCTGAAAAGATGCACCAAGAAAAAAATGGCTCTGCAGTCTCCAGTCTTCAGAACAATTACAAAGCAAGTGTTGGAAACATCAAATTTCTATTTTATTTCTCAACCGGTCTCTCCTGTGCATCACAACTGTGATGAGGTCATCTCTTAGTCACATCTCAGTGACTACTATCATTATTTTGGCTTAAATAACATCTTGATTTACATGTTCAGATGTCCTTTATGCCTTATGCAATACTATAAGTTATCTTTTTTATTTTCTCATAATACTCTCTGCAATAGGTGGAGGACGGGAAGCTCACCTTGGAAATAATGCAGCCAGACTTTGATTCTGTGACTTGTTTTTTAACTTTTCAACTTCCCACCAGAAAGGAGCTAATGTGTATTCTTAAAATATCTTAATGAATTATTTGAGCCAAATCGACAAGCTCAAAAAGAAGTGGACAAAAAGAAAAGCGGTGGTGTAAAAATGACAAAACGAGTTGTTAAAATTAACTGAATGATTCATGATCGGTGAAAATTAGAATCCTGGATTGTTATTCATCTTTTTTCCAAATAAGGATGAAAAAAAGGCTTGAAATATTCTGGCAATGATGCGGCTTTCTTTCTTACATTTCTTACAGAATTATCATTTGTGATTTTTTTTTTTTTTTTTTTTTGACAACAGTGACTCTTCATTTCAAAGCTGCCAAGAACCTTTCAGTCAAAATCCCAATTTGTTTCCCCCTGGCTTCAACCAGACTTGTTCTTCCAAGCTGTCCATTTCGTTGCTCTTAAATGTTGACATATGGTGTCGGATTTGTTTGTCTTGGCAACTTCTGGGCTTCTACCAAGTTTTCAGCAGTTTAAATTTAAAACAATGAGATATTGTCTTGCTTGTACATCCACCAGGACATACGGCATATAAATCTTTTTCGTAGCACTTCTTTTACCAAGTATGGAGTACAATGTGGACGTTATACAACATGTTTGTTTTTCTTATTTTATGTAGCTTGAAATAAACCAATCAAATCTCATTCCAGGATTTACTTGCTGCCAACTGCGCCACAGTGATAAAGTTTGAAGAGTATATCTCCCTTTTTAATAGCATCTGGTTTTTGATTTCAGTTTAATTAAAGTTAAAACTGTAAGGGAAAAAAAAATCATACCTTGGTTGATGCCTTTTCAAGGCTTTAAAACAGCATAAATTTGAGTTGAAGTGCTTTCAACCATCCAAAACTTGAAAGTTTCTGCTTTTGTTATAGTTTAGTAATATTTTGCTGGTTTTCATTTTAGATTAAAACAAAAGCATGTTATTCATTTTGTCTTTGTGACTAATAGCCTTTCAAACTCAAGTGTGCTTCTGGGCTGAACATTTTGAGCGTTTTCATTTGAACTTGGCAAACAGATTTTTTTTAGAAGCAGTAATGTAACTTTCAACACCGGGTGTCTCTCTGGATTTTATCTGCATTTCATGTCAGACACTCTAACCTTGTCTCTAGATGTTTACTTATGTTTGGATCAAGGTTTTGAGTAAGACAGAACAACAAACATGAGCTGCAATCGTTCTCCAAGAATCTTCATACTAGTCGTTTCTTTCAGCCGCAGTCAAGATGTCCGTCTTTGGGAAAGTTTCAGCAGTTTTCTTGTAATTGTGGAGCCTGCGCAAATAGAAAGCTTATTACAAACCGAGGAGAAAAAAAAATGTTTCAAAGCCCTCAGAAATCCTCACAGCTCCAGTTAATCTACTCGTGAAGTTGTGTTGACATCTTTATTCTAACTTTGTATAAATTTAATTAAAGAATGATTCGACAAGCTGGTGTTTAACTTTCTTCAAAGACCGCCACCCACACGCCAGTCACATCAGAGTAAGTTGAATGCATTTAAATTGAAGCAAGTCTACTGAAGATTGATTTGCATTCAGTAGCAAAAGACTGGTAATAAGGTCTGACCACATTTTGATAATTGGAACATTGTAGGACGTAAATGACTTATTTAATGTCTTGTTTTAGTAAATATTATGAAGCAGTGTTTTTATTAGTCAAAGAACATAAAGGCAAGTTCATTCCCATGGTGCTAGAAAAGCATCAGCATCTCTCTCTATGTTCATAAAACCTTATAAACATGAATACACTACCTTGCAAGAGCATTCACAACTTTTTCATATTTTGTAATCTTATGCCCAAAAACCTTAATATAATTTGTCAGAATTTTATGTAATAGACCAACTCAATGTGGTAAAAAAACTTTAAAGTGGAAAGGAAAAGATGTCCAGATGTCTTCAGATGAAAATTGGTAAATGTATAAAACAGGACAAAGTTTTCAGCTTATTTGTGGTCACTGAAACCACAAATCATTTTCCTTCTGTGTCATTAATACAAACCACTTGGTTTGGTTCTGTCACAGAAAATCTTAAAATGAAAAAAAATAAGTGGAGCTTGTGGTTGTAAAATTGATAACTTTACAATAGACGTGACAGACAATGTTCTTCATCACCTGCTGAACCAAATGCAAGTTATCCCGTGAAGTGATTTTATTCATTTTTAAAAACATACAAGTAGCAATAGTTTCATCAGTGATTTTCCTGTAGATACTGTTACTATGGCACATGGTTTGCATCTGGAGATCACCAGGATTTAAAACAGCCAAGATGTGTATATTTTAATGTAATTCAGAGTTCGCCACCTGCTGCTGTCGTGACGTATCTGAGGACCTCTTCTGTCGCTCTCTGCATTTTATGTAACTCCGGGGACTTCAGTTGCATAACGGCCTCTCGTATGTAAAGCAACCAGAAGTGCAACTGAACGAGTGTGGGGATGTGTAGTGAATAAAGCCATCACATTAAATGTTAAACTGATAATTCTGGCACATTTTTACCTGGTTGAGTCTTAAATTTTTATAGATTTTGAACCTTTGCAAGCTTAATAAAATATTGTCATATTCGGAATGCCCTAACTTTACCGCCTGCAAGCTTTCAGAGTGCAGAGTTTGTCAGAGTGCAGTGATGCATTTTTCATTTGGTTCATCTTAAAGTGCATGTGAAAATGATAATTATTTAACTAGTTGCCTTATTTTAGCCAGGGATCAGTATTCAGACTGAACATATGATGGGATCCTGATCAGATTACGCAATGCTCTTCCCAAATGGTGACCCATGAAAAAATCTAGAGCTCAACTACGGTGCAGTCACATAATGAACGTAAAACAGTTTAGCCTTCACTCGTCTCTATACTGCTGCATTAGTACAACAGCCAAACATACAGTGAACGACTGACTGGTGTGCCCTCTCTTAGAACTGCCTATTCTAATCATTCAAATACAATAACATGCATTAATGGCCACAGTGGGAACCATTTTAGCATGACCGCAGAGGCTAAAATACATGCTTCTCCTCATTTCCACTCGATGGGAAAAAGGAAAGTGATTGCCGCTGCTGGATTGGCTGTTTTGCAAACGCCAGCCTTTATCGTGCCACCCGTTGCATCTTGGTATTTCAGTTTCTTAAGGTGCATTTTTGTTTTAGAAATTTTACATATGAGCTACACAAAATCCCACAACAGAGCAAAATGTCTGCAAATAATTTGGTGCCAAGCTCCACAAAAAAAAAATCACAAATGGGTGAATCTGTGACGACTGAACTGCAAACAGGCAGAGGTCCGCTGCTAGAAAAAAAATGACAGGAGATGCTTAACCTAGTCATTATTTTATTGTAAATAGTTGACAAACTTGCTTAACTTGACAAAAACAAGCTTACAAAATAACGCAGAGACACTTTATTTTGGTATATATATCTAAATAAGAAAATAATTCTTATTTTGTGCAGCTTTGGCTGCAAAGCTTAATATTACGGATTACAGTCCTCACTGCTTCTGCTTTATTTAGACTTGTTTTACTTACCGTGCTGCAGTGTCACATTAAAGATGGAAGACCAACTGGAAGTCAAGCCTCTCCACAAGTCTTCCTTCTCTGTCTGCATGGTTTTCACCGCTGAGCTCTAGCAGGTTCAGCCTCCAACGATTCCCCTGGAGGCTCTGCAAGGTTGATGAAAAAAGCCCCCCAGCCATAGTGCTGTGGGCTAACCCAATGTTCTAATGATGGCCATTATAAAACACCACACTTCTGCGAGGGCTGGCTTGCTGTCTGAACAATTAGGTTAGTCGTTGCCAAAGGCTGTACCCACCGAGATTCTGTTGGCGTCTAATGGCCTCTCACTGATCGTAAGTGTCCCCTGGGGTTGATGCTCCTGAGCTGCGGGTAATGGCCACTGCTTGCTGCCATTTAGGAAGAGTCCCTGAAATATAAGGATTCACCTTGCGTTGAAAAACAGATTTTTTCAATGCAATCTGTTTTACCCATTTGGAGCGTAAAGGTCAGGCGCGGTGAATAAACACACATTTAAGTTGGTGTCTGTAGAAATGCTAGATCTTTCTCTGGACAATCACAAGACGTGTGCTCTGTATTGAGAATATTTTGTACAATTCAGGTGTTTCAAACACTTGCAGACTGCAAGCCTGCAGATACTGTCTACAACCAGTTGTGAAGTAATGGCACCATAATAGGATGCCCTGAAACATAATCACCGTGCAAAAATATCCACTTTCACCAATCAAGCATAAAACTGCAACCACAAAAATGTGAAGTTACTAACACACATTTTCTCTCCATCACGGCCTCAGTCAGGAGGGGGGATGCAACGGGCAGGTATGTGGTGTTGCTGCAGCAGATGCATTTGAAGCAAAGACAACTGGAAAGTTGCATTATTTGAGTGAGTTTGACACTTGCTGTCTTCTAATGGCTGGATGCCATCACACTGTTCCTGTGATGGAACAGTGTGATTTTTACCGTCTGCAGCGGTAAAAATTGGCCCGTGAAGAGAACGGTGGTGAACCTTTGACGGGTTGAATCATGTATGTGCTGAGTGAGGTCAGGCGGGTGTGGTCCAATCTGATGTCACTCAAACTGCTGAAGAACCTCCAGCTGATTCAGAGTAAAAGGTTTCTGAAATACAAGTAATGATCTCAACTTTACATTCCTTCATCAAGCCTGGCCTTTAGACGCCCTCCCACTTTAACCCATCCATTATTCATCCTAAATTATGCTGACGACAACTTACTGTAGGCAACGTGGCGATATGATTTCTGTTTAACAGAAGAAAGCTGTTCAGTTCAAATGGATTGAGGGAACATTTTTGGCTTTTTGTTCTGCCGAGTGAATATGAGTGAACAGATTCAAGCCCCTCTATTTCCCTCTTCTCATCCGAACTCAGTATTAGCAGAGAAGTGACCGTGGGCCTTATTCCTAACAGCTTGGATCTTGGATAAGAAGCATCCGGCAGTCGACAAATGACTAAATGGTGTAATTAAAAGGAAAATAATTTGGTCAGGTTTACTAATTATGTATAATTAGGCTCCAGAGCAAATGAACAATGCAATGGGGAATACAGATGATTGCAGAGCCTTTAGCAGCTTCTGTGCTGCAGAAAACCCTGTTGTCAGCGTTGATCACACGTCTGTATTTAAATAACTCCAAATAACATTAGTTGGTCGTTAAGTGCTGAAGTCTCAAGAGGCTCTCAGCTTCCAGGGGAGTCTAGGTTTTGATTACCTTTACGATGACAAAATGAGTAGACGCACCCCATTGCATTAGCATGACATTTTGTCAGTGTAAAAAATAAAAAATGAGGTACTTGAGTGTAATGAGATGTACAGCAGAATAAAAAAGTCCCTTCCTGGATTTGGTTTCTTGGATCGAAACGAGAGAAACAAACAGAAAACAAAGCAGTCGCCTGATTTTAGTTTGCTTTTATATTCACAGGGGCAGCGTTTGTTTTCCCTCCAGAGGCTGCGCTTCCTGAGAGACCGCGGAGCGAAAGCGTCACGTACGTGAATATTCCCGTCAGCCCGACGTCTAAGAAACAACTCAACTACATGGAGCTGGAGCTGCAGGAGCCGGGCCACGGCACCAGAGGGACTGTCGCACATCTGCCGTCTCAAAGTAAGAATTTATTGGGAGTGATTTCTGCTAAATGAGAGGCCTCATCTTCAGTCCCTGAAGCAAGTCTGGTTTGGTTTCTGAGCGTCTTCCATATGTTAAGGAAACAATACAACCATTGAATGACTGATGACTTTTCATCAACAGATCTCAATAAACAATCAGTTTATTCCGCAGCAAACCCTTTGTGGATTTTAAAAGTAAATCTTTGTGATGATTAAAAGGAAATTGATTAAGTTTTTTTTCCCCAGTTGTCAATGTGAGCTTACTTAACTGGTTTAATCTAGTATTCAAATTTATGGTTATAGAGGCTGCTGCTAAAAACTGCAGTGGCTTCTCTCTAAGTAGTTATTTTTTTATCCATAAATAAAAACAGAGACAAACACAGCTGAAAAGTTGTTAACACCGAGGTTGTGAAAGAAGCACAAACCAGGAGGAAGTTGTGATTTCTAAGTGATATCCAGCGGGAATTTATCCAATGAGCTCCGACTACATCCGGATCCACAGTCGCTCCCTGTGGATCCGATGAGACTGGAGTCTTTCTCAGGTGGAGGCGCCGTCCTCTTCTGGCCAGAGGTCACTGCTGAAAAGCAGAGCGGTGAGATTCAGACCCGAGGGATACACCTGAAAGTCATCTTTGAGAGAGAAAATACAAATGTAGATTATACTTAGAGCACAGTTCAGTCCAGACAAAAACATTCAGGGCATTTTTATTGTGAAACATTGATCAGGTCTTGGTTCTACAGAGAGAAGAATATCAACAATCACCATTGTAAATGAACGTTTCTCCAGAGCAACTCAATCAAACTTTGCCACATGTATTCTTTTGAATAACATGTAGTAACCTATTTGTATTATTTTAAAGCTAAAGCACTATGGACCAAATTTCTAAAATAACCTAATTGCTCTCAGACAGCATACTAATGTTTAGTCAAGAGAGGAGTCCAGGAGCAAAGCAGTTCAATGTGGGGCAAAAGGTCAAATTTACACTGAGGTATAAAAAAAATAGAAGCACTGAACCTTCACGTTGTTTTTTCACAAAGCTTTCTGATCACCATCTGTTTGCAGCCGCTTTTTTCAAATCAGAAATGATCTCTTCAAACCCTGCAGACAGCTCTGAAAGAGCCTGCTTACAATAAGTCAGTGCGTCAATACCAAGGCCACATCAGGGCAGGATAAAAAGTCATTGTGGACACATGAATCATCAGGAACTCGGTTTTGTCCCATTGGCGCAAAACTTTCACTGAAACTTTTACCGAAAGATGTCGGAGTCCTTGTTACCAGAGACGAACCAGCGAGCTGTAATTCACCGACGGGCTCAGTCTTATCGTCGCTGACTTCAAGAACACGAGAAGGGTGGGAGGTCAGAGGTCAGTGTCTGATGGCACCGCTGCAGTTTATCTCTTATTAATCTGTCGCCTGGGGGGGAAGGGTGTCCTGGCTCACCACTGAGTGGCCCTCAGATCGCAGCTGTGCGTTCGCCCTCTCTAATGGGATCATCCTACCGGGACCGCTGATGGCCTGGAGAAGCCGGGTTGAATTTCTTTCACTGCGAGAGACGATAAAACCCTTCTGAGGTGTGGAATTGCAGGTCTTTGCATTAATATTGAGTTTAAATGTGACTGGTGCAACTCTATAAATTAGGATGTAATCCAATTTATAGAGATCCATGTCAGTAATTCTGAAAGTTGTGTTATAATGATTCATTACATACATACATGTTTAAATTGTTTATTTCTGTTAGCTTTGGTAACAGAAATGAACAAGATGTTGCTTTTCAGAAAATATTAATTTTATATAAGACAAATGAAAAGAAGCATTTTTGGCAGTAATTCATAAAGCTATGAAAGACAAAGTGTCAAGAAAATTCAGCTGAATTATTTGCATATTTTCTCTGATTTATGTGTGGGAACTGGCAACACTAGTGATTTGTAGCTTTGTCCGGTTTGCGCAAAAGGAGAAATTTAAAGACGAGAAGATTATAATTTCTTATATAATGTTTGCACTATTCCAGAATCTGTTGACCGACTATTTGTCTTAATTATCAGATAAACTAAAACTATCAGCAGCAAAAGGATTTAAATATTCTACAGAAAAGACAGTGAAAAATGAACGTCTTTAAATTTCTACCTGATGATTTTGTTGTCTTTTGATGAACCATTCACATCCGAGTTCAATCCAGACAGAAATTTGCCCTGAGCCGGGCTTTAGAAGCAGCCCTCTTCTACCAGTTCACAAACAGCTAAAGGCATTAATGTTTGTATTGTTCATGACATCTATGTGATCTCTTTTATTAGACCTGAACTCAACTTTAAGCAGCTTTAAGTAGGCATGCACATCAAAGGCTGAGTAATCGTATTCATGCACACGGCTCATTAAAGTAACACTGAATGTGTTTTTTGTTGTTTTTAAAAACAGGTGATGCAACATGTTCTGTGGCTATATACAGGTATAGATTAAAGAAAAGCTGTTTTTTTCTGAATTTCCTGGCTGATATATCTGCAGGTAACTCCTTTATGAAGTCTTTTGATTTTGGCTTAGACGGCTCATAAAATTCAGGTGAATATTTCTTCTGTTAGATTTTGCTCATTGCCTTCTTATTGCACTCGACCAGCTCAGATGACGTAGTTGGTGAAATAATGAACTTTTTCTGGGTTTAGACTTTCGCAAAAGACATTTTCTAGATTCAACCCAGATGAAAATCTTGTTTCTCCTGCAATTATTTTTGACAGGAAAGAGCTCCACCAGGTACGCTCAGATCGACATCACCGCGATGGAGATGGCTCACAAAGTTGGCACGCAGCACGCCCTGGGCAGGCAGGAGGGCCTGCACAACCTGGAGCTGAGGAGAAAAGGAACGCCGCATTGACTCCATGCTTTGGACTCGCTGCACTGGACTGTATCCATCAGAGATGTGAAGAACATGATGGGAGCGTTTGTTTTCTGTTCTCTCACAATTTCTAAGCACAGATTCGGTTTACACACGCTAGAATCCAAGAACATGTCGTGTTCGCGTTGTTAGGTAGGCTTTTGCTTCTGTAATCAAGAAGCTGCGATAACGGTTGTGTGGTTTTGCATGAAGCCAGGTGCAATATTTCCTTCTCGTTAGCACAGAAGTTGGTTGCATCATTAAACGGCAGTGCGCCAACTCAGAGGAGAAGGCACTGACCCAGAGATGAGTCACGGCCCAAACGCCTCCTCCTCGCTTAGCTACACCTCAGCACCATCTTGGACCATGCCAGAGAGCGCATTTTATCATCGTTTGGGAAAATAACGGAGATGAAGCAAGAGGTAATTATTCCATGACGTAATTATTAATTACGTTGTGCAAAGCCGCTCGGATTTGGCCTAAACCGTCCATCCAGTCTTACTCAGAGCTGTGCAGGAGAAGTAAACGATGAGTTGTGGTGGAAAGGAAAATCTGTAATTGTTTCACATTTCACCTGCGTTGGCCTGCTGTGACTAACAGATGCTGTTTATTGTTTGAACAGAATCTGAGTGCTGCTTTCTTTGTTTCTTCTGTCATTGTGGGACAGGATTTACTGTGGGAAACTATTTATGAATTCTGCAAAGATGAGAAAAATAATGTTTGGAGATTTTCTTTGGGATTTTTAAAAGACAACAATAATGTTTATTTTGCGTCCTTTTCATTTTTCCTCATTTCTTGTGCGTACATTGGTAAACCGCAGCAGAGTGTTGTTTTTGTCTCGTATTCTGCTACCTTTCAACTGCTGTTGACTTCAAGAAGACGTTTATTTCAAGCATAACATTTGATACATAAGTCGAGAGATATGGAGAATGTATAATTTGTGCTTTCTAAGTAAAACTTTCTTTTTTAGTAAGTTATTTATTACTACAACTTTGTGTGTTTTCCAGTGTTTACAGTTGCAGTGAAAATTTACAGGCACCCATTAGGGGCCTTAACTTATGTTTTATATTTTTAATGATTGATTTGATGATAATGCACCAGTACCACTAATGGCAAATGACCCCTACAGCATGCCTCTGCCCCTACCATGCTTTATAGTAGGTACATCATTGTTGAAAATCTAACCTTGACTGATCCAAGCTCACCCATTCACACAGAGACCAAATCCTTTGAGTGTCACATTTCTCTCCAGAAGTAATTGATCTCATTCATGTAGGCAGTTGCACATTTTAGTCTTTCTTGACGGTGTACATTTTGGAGCATCAGCTTCTTTTTTGGTTGTTACTCTGTGGGCAGAGATACCAATGAAGCTGCATTTTTGCTTCTTTGCAGCCTGGTGGCGTGTTCCTGAACTGACTAATCTCCTTTCAGTTGTTTTTGTCTCTGTCCAAGCTTTCCTGAAAGTGAATAAAATAATGTTAAACTGGAAAAAGAAAGCTAAAGAATAAATATTTGGTTTGTGCCCATGGTTCATAATATTCATGCTCTTGCTAATTGACCAGAACTATACAGCCAGTCAGATCCCGTGTCTGTTTTTTCAGATTTATTGCTTTCAGATGATCAATGTTGTAAGAGGTTAGCATCGTCTGTGTCAGGCTTTAAATTTCTCGACAAACATGTATTTTTATTGGTGGTTGATTATTACAGTTTGATGATCATGAAATGCAGTAAGAAAGAAAACTGAATCACACTCTTATCCAAAAAATATGTAAATTGTAAATAAAATGGGATGAATATTAAACCTTTCAAAATTTGTGTTAATTTAATTTTGATTGCTGGATTCTTCAAGGCGTTAAACCATCTCCCATCAGCAGCTGGGAGTAGGATAACCTGAACAGTTCAACTTTAGGAAAGGTAACAAAAAAAGAAACAAATTGAAAAAAATGTAAATGCCAAACATACAGAAAGGATGATGTGGACAACTGGTTAGCAAATTATAGCTGGGATTTTTAGAAGTGGCTTTAGAAGTACTGCTGAATAATTTAATTGCAATACTCCTAAATACACAATTCTGTTTATTTATATGGTACCAATGAACAAAAACACTGTCTCAAAAAATCATTTTAATTCAATCAGACATGCATTCTGTTTGGTCCTGTTCATCAAACAGCACAGTGAGCTCAATTAATTATTCAAACTAGTTAAGAAGTTTCTATATAAGAAAACCCAGCAGGTTGCACAAAGTTTCTGACTTGCAGCCTTTCCTCCTCCTGGATGAGCTGAAACCTCATTTTCATACTCTGATGTAAAAACTGTGCAATCCACAAACTGTATTTAGGCTTTTTATTTATTTTTTTTTTCAGAGTATTGACTTTGTCCTCTCTTGAGTTATTGTTCTGCTCCTTGTCAACCATTTTCTTCACCAGGTCTGTTGATTTTGTTCTGGGATTCATTTCCACATTTCATCTCCAGAAAAACTAGCATCTTCTTCCTCAAATGTATGATTGTTGGACATTCCCAGGTTGTTTGATTTACAATCAACTGTGGTAAAAGTTTAAAATGTATTATTATCTATTTTAATGACACAACTTGAAGTCACTTTGGTGATAAAATCAGTGCCTTTAGTGCTTTTGGGTAAGTTTTTAAACATAAACTGCTGATATTCAACAACTGTGCTTTGAATTGAACAACCAATATCAACTCTTACAGCATCATTACTCAGATTGGCTTAACCACATAAGTCATTGGTTGTTAAATTCACTAACCTTGTACAAAACCACACAGAGCGACGTACTGCGAGTGTTTCTTAGAAATTAATTTACTTCAAATGAACTGAGAAAGCAGAGAAAGTAGGACTGAGCGTCTCTGCGGCCACATATTGATCTAAATAAAGAAGTAGAAATGAAGATCGAAAATTCAACAAAAAGAGCGGCAGCAAATGTTTGTGAGGGAAGCAGCTCGGCTTTAATCCCTGCTGTGGCTCGTATAAAAAGTAAAGAGCAGGGCGAGCGCCATCTGTTCACCACAGACACACAGGTAGCAGATATAAAGACCTGTGAGACTTACTGGTGTTATATAAACACATTCAATTGAATTTAAATTACCTTCAAAGGATCACTGAACACAGTTCACATTTTAACAAAAAACATTGGTCAGAGGTACGCCACTCTTTTTTTCACATCACTTTTGCAAAAAAGCAAAAAGTAATTTCATCATGAACTAATCATTTGTGCTATTAGCTGTTTAAATTCTATAAATATTGATTTATATGTGACTGATTGTGAGTATTGTGGGCTCTGCGATATTCTGACCTCTGCCAAGAAATCATGAAATGCCGTTAAATACTATTGTGCAGCACAAAGTTATTTCTATTTTGCCCGGTCAAAAGTCTTTTCTGGAGTTATTGAAATGATTCAGTCACTTTCATTCAATAGGATAGTTACACTCTGAATTAAACTTCGCCAAAAAAAAGTGGGGAATTGATAATTGTGGTATGTTTTTGGTTTCTGCTTCAAGTCTTCCTAGTTGATCAGTTTGAGTCTTTGCCAGCAGCCTCTTATCAAGGAACAATTTGCTCCAGTGTCTTCAGCTGAATCTGTGAAAATATCATTTGTTGGGCAACATCCTAAAACGTCTAGAAGATTAAAACTTTCAAAGACACTTCAGATAGTCTGGAGAGCTACTCCAAATTAAATAAAACAATAAAATCTGGCTGGTTTGAAGGTGAAATAAATGAGAGGTGCTTTTATCTTTTACACCCTCATCTTTGTCAGTACTATTTTCAAATCCTTAGTAACTGAAGGTTCAAATACTTGATTTCTTTTGTGATGGAAACAAACTACTTTGTGCAACAGATGCTGTATTGTGTCCCTGAAGACCTTTGATAAAGGATAAAACATTCAAGGTTTATTAGGGACTAAGTTGAGTTTGGCTCTGAAGTTAAGATGCTCTTTGAACGCTGACATGAGGCTCGCCTCAGAAAAATGTAAGATTTTAGCAAAAAAACATGCTCTGTCCAAAGGTCATAGGTGTCACGACCCTGGCTGTAGGTGTCAGATATGCACCATCTCTACCCCAGCATGAACATGTCGATTGGAACCAAATGTGAGCATCCTCAGGATTTCATGTGGAAAAAAAACAGAACAATTTTTACAAATTATCATAAATCCACACAAGAGCTCTAACGAGCCAGCACCTTTCGACCTCGGTTATTTTCCTCTCATTTGAAAATGCAGCCGAGAGTTTTTATTCCGTCATTCAGAGCTGAACTAATTTATTCTTCAAATGTTCTTCTCTCAGAGTAGACAGACACTCCTTATGAGAACAACTATATTATCCATCCATCCTTTGTCTTTTGACATTAAATTAGACTCAACTTTGTCTCATGTCAAAACTACCCTAATTATTTCTATTTGCTTAATGTCAGAATAATGAAAATTGTTGCTTTCTTCAAGAGTTTACATGCCCTCATACTTCACTGTGCAATTAAACAATTTGAGGACGTTCCAATTATGTTGTCAAGACTGACGTCTGACTAAAAACTCCTTGATGAAGTCAAAGGAAATCAGCTAACATGTCAGGAGGAGAACTGTGGACCTCCACAAGTCTGGTTTATCCCTGGGGGCTGACCCTGATGCCTGAAGGTTCATTCATGCATCCGTCCAACAATTACATATATGTGCAAACACTGTGTGTTAAAAATGATCAACTTGTTTTGGTGTAAATTGTGCACATCGGTCTCAAAATACACATAATAAAGCTGGTAAAGCCAAGCTGGTAAAGCTGGTTGGAGATGGAGTCCTGCTTACATTTTAGTATCTGGTTTCCACCACAAATATGATCTAGTTTAAGTCTGTATGTCTGCCAGGAGCCAGGAGTGAGCTACAGAAACATATTTCCACCAGTGCAGAGCTTGGAGCTTCACTTATTGACTTCATCAGCCATAAGTCATGGCTGAAAAAGTGGGTCATACTGTCACTTTAACAACAATTAGTGGTTTAGATTCAGTCTGACTATGAGCATGCTTCACAGGAATGTGTTTTTATATTGCTGTGCCTTTTGGGATTGAACAACAAAGGCCACACATACAGTCTTGAGACACTCGGTTCTTTTCCTTGTACTGGTTCAGTCATGTGAAACCTCCTTTCTCTGCCTCTAAGAAAATTACGTCTGCTGAATAAGTGATTGGTGCTTGCTAATCAAACTGTCCACTCTGCTTTGTCAGTCTTGCACACACTTGTCAGAAAATAAATTCAAACATCTCAGTCAGCTTAATTATTCATGCAAGGTCACTTTTCCTCGCTCGCATGTTCACACGTCATCACTGAGGCCGCTTCTGTCTTCACAGAGGAACTAATGACTTCAGTATTATTAATTATGTAGGAACCACGAGAAACGGTTGGATTCAAGAAACCAAAAGGCACTCAGCAAATTTCCACACTGAAGTGCTTTAATATTGCTTCAAGAAAATTTAATACATTACTGCCTGCTCAGAGAAAAGAAATTTGGGCCCAAGAGAAAGTCTGTCCATCAGCGACTGTTATAACATAACTTGATATATATATATATCTATCTATATATATATATATAGATAGATATATATATATCTATAGATATATATATATATATATATATATCTATATATATATATATATGAGCTGACTGGATAGCTCAATACATAAGGCATCAGTATATCACCCGAGAGGGCAGGGTTCGAATCCAGTCTGGGTCCTTAGGCAAGACCCTTCAAGCTACTGCCTACCTCATACCATGAGAGATACTAAGTTGCATAACATGCCGGCTCAGACGTCGCCCGGCCAAACAAGGTCTGCGTCAGGTGTTGGGGAACCAGAGCACCTTGATGACAAATGGGCTACTGGAACAAGACGGAAATGGGCGAGAGATGAAAATGTGGATCTGTTGGAATGCTACTACTCAAGTAACCCTAGTGAGAGAGGTTACATGCAAAGACTGGGGAAGGAATGGTTACTTCGACATCCCCATTCAACACTAAGCGCTAAACAACTAGTAGCTCAGTGTTCCAACATCCGCAAACGGCAACTGCTATCACAACTTGAGATTGACGAGATACAACACAAATGCTACGGCAAAAGGGAGGAACCCGGATGTCAGGACTGTGGGGACTTAACTACAAGTCCCCACCCAGTGAGGGGATACACGGCCCCAATGAGCGAAACAGAGCTGAACGAGACAGAGAGAGAATCATGACCCGAATGACAACCAGGCCTCCTCGGCGCCAATTACAATGGCTGAGTGAAGTACCATCATTGAGAATGTGAATGCAGCATTGAGAACGATCCCTACCAACACCATAACAGAAACCAATGAGCTGATCTACAACTCAGCATTAGTGATCCTTGAGATACTTGGCTATAAGAGCAACCATGAGACCCAATACCCACCATGGAAAAGACGGTTAGAGGCTAAAATCAAGGTAACAAGGAGGGAAGTGAGCCAACTGTCAGAGCTCCACAAGGGTACAATGAAAAGACCAGTACCCAGAAAGTACAGCCAGATGCCCATACCTGAAGCACTCGAGACTGCCAAACAGAGGCTCCAAGCCTTGGCCAGCCGCCTAAAGAGATACACAAGGGAGAATGAATCCAGAAGGATTAACCGGCTCTTCTCCACTCAACCAGCTAAGGTGTACTCTCAATGGCAGGGTAATAACAACAGAGCAGACCCACCAAGGCTGGAGACTGAACAATACTGGAAAGGCATATGGGAAAGGGAGGCGTCCCACAACAGCAATGCACAGTGGCTGATCTCTCTACGA